GTCCCCACGCTGGGCATCCCAGCGCACTGGCGTGGGACCGAGCGCAGGCTGGGCTGCTCTGTTAATTGACGAAATGCGCATCGTTAGGGGCCGTGCCTCCTCTTTCTGGTTTTTAGGTTCAAAACCTAAATGCTGCCGGCACCGTACAGGAGTTCCTGTGTTGTAGCTGGTGTCAGCATTGACTAAATGTCAGTCTGGGATTCTCAGCCTGTTTTGGGGGCCAAAAGAAAGCAGGTAAATCATCTGAACTGCTTCTCAGCTGTTCAGTGACTGCTGATCTTTTCTCTCCAGTCTAGTTGTAAACTTCCAAAGGAAAGGTTTCGATCTTATTTTCCATTGTTAACTTGGAAACACTGTTCAGGAGGAATTCTATCCATTAGTAAGCTTTGCCTGATATTTGGCTTTAGTTTCTTTTTAATTCCTTATGCTATTGTATAGCAAAGTCTGGGCATCCACCTACATCTTTAAAAAGATGTGATGTTAGAAAAAGAGAAGATAAATGTTGTTATAGTGGAGGGTGCTTTTTTAGAAACACCTTTTGGATGACGAGCAGCAGATAACCTGTGCGTAGCACTCGGTCTAAGTGCAGGAGAAGAGAACTACCCCAAGGCCAAGTAATGGATGCAAATCTTTTTGGAGGGGGAAGGCCACATATAACTCTTAACATCCATGCAGAGCAGAAGGGACTTTGGCATCTCTTACAGACTTGACAAACTACAAAGGGAGGGAATGCTCAGCAAATGAATTTGGGGGTGCCTTTGAGATTCTAATAATGATTTGTTCTTTACATACCACCTTCAAAGCACCCCACTACTGTAGCCATGCCTAGATGCTTCTGTGACTTAAGCAGAACTGCACTCGAAGCATGTCAGGGGTGCTGTGCTACTGGAGCAAGGTAAGAATTATTTTGTAGTAATCTGGGAAGACGCTGTCACATCACAGAGGATGCTTTTGCAAAGACCGAGTGAAAGAAGCAGAGGATAAGTAAAAGCCAGCTGCACAGGCTGTGTTTAATGATGCAGCTGACACTGCAAGTACCTCTTTTCCGTGCTCCTGTAACCACATCTGTTCCATCCTTCCACAGCACAGTCAGCATCTGGAACCTGTCCTCAAAAGCAAAGATACTCCCTCAAACTTGTGAGTTTTGATCTGTTTGGGTAAGGAATAGTGCGTAGTGTACTGTGTCCAGGGCCTGACCCGTTTGGCCTGCATGGCTAAGAGTGTCCGAGGAATTCAGAGAAAGTGGTCACAGAGGCCCCTTCTAGCTTAGGAGATGGATATAACTTCCTGAGAGTGTCATGCTTGGATTTTAGTAGAAGTTGGCCCTTCCACCAAAGGTGTGAAGAAAACAGGTATAAGGATTAAAAAAAGTAAAAGCCTTCATCCCAAAAGGTTGCCTCTTTGATCCACCAAGCTCTGTAATCTCCAAAACTGAATTTGGTGGTGTAAGATAGAGATCTTGATTCATTCGTGTCAGACCTGCTTTCTTCCTGTACGGCGAGTGTACGTGTACCCTGCTGAAGTCTGGGGAAACCAGAGAAGTTAGAATTTGGTGGCTGTGCCGAGGTAGTGATGAACCAGCACTGAGAGACTCTGTAAGGCCAGAGCACATCTTTAAATCAAACAGTAATTATAGTTGGAGTTCCGAGCCAGCTTTCTAGATACTTGCCAATAACTTGGGTTCTGCAGAAACGTGCTATTTCCAGTAATAGCTGTTCTGCAATGGAAATTCAGTTGATGATTGATTTTCGGTAACTTGCAAACCAGAGCAGGAAGACTGTTTTCTTGTCTGCTGTGGCTCTTGGGGGTTGCTTGTCTGTGGGAAGACCAGTGCTGACTAAGGGCTCTGTGGGGACCTGGTGGTGCCCACTCTTGAAAACTCCCTCTCCCTTTTGTCAGAGAAGAGCCATTTAAGAGGATGGAGAAAGAACAGAGTGTTAATGAGAAAAGACAGCTAACTGCCACAAAACTAGAACTGGTAGGCGGGAAGCTGTAATCACTTCTGTACGCAACACTCCCAACTCCTCTGTTTTGCACCTTTGGCATCTTCTGGCGTTTTGCTCGTTAGTTTGATGGCGCAGCCCAGCCCTTGTGGTTGCAGAGGACTGTAGAGTACGATATGGCACACGAGAGCATTTTGGCTCCTGGGTTTGATGGCTCAGATTGGCTCACCAGGCAAGGTGCAGAATAAAATATCCACTGGAACATGGTCGTTTGTGTTGTCTGGGCCTGCTGATCCTCCAGATGCCTTGGCCAATTGTGGGTAGGGCCTTTGGTATCAGACCAGCCAGAATATAAAACTGCTGCCTCCTCCCATGCATAAGAGCATCTGTCCTAAGTTAGCTTGCAGTATGTTGATAAAAAAGATATATATATACACACACACACACACACACACACATATACACACACGTGTGTGCGTAGGCAAACACATACATACTGAATGTAAACTATATGCATTTTAGGTCACTCAATAACAGCAGTAATGGGCAGTAAGGGGCAATAATGCTTGCCGATTTTAAAAGATGGATTGTAAGGTGTCAGCACACTACCTAGACTCTTGAATGTCACAAATACAGACTTTCTTACTTGTCTCAATTTGTGACAGCTAGAATAAAATGTTACAGTTCTTTGTTGGGACTTGCCTGTTTGCAGAAATAACCTCATCTGTGTTGTGGATAAGAAGTTCACCTCTGGCTCCTTTTAAAATAATAGCTTTGGGACTAGAGCTCGCTTTAGGTTGCGAGATGGTCTGCATTGTCTAGACGCTTTTAACTCACAGACAGTGCTAAGTGGTAGTGTTTGAAATGTCCAATGTGAGACAGCCACTCCCTTGTTCTGTGCTGATGCTCAGAGTTTATGTGGTTGTTAGGCACAGCATTAAATAGTGAACCAAAAGACATGAGCTCTGTTCTCAGCTCTGTTGCTGATCTGATATTTGATTTTTTTTTTGGGGGGGGGGGTTGTTGCTTTCTTTAAAATGAGTAGTGAAGGTCTTGTAGCAGTCTTGCCCAAGTTTCCCTTTCTAGCAGGGTGTGTGTGGCTGAAGTAACGCTCCTCCTTCCTGTTCCCTTTAGGATGTCAAAGATGGCAAGATCTACAATGAACAGAACTTCTTCCAGCGAGCTGCAAAGGCAGGCACAGGTTGGTGCTTCTTGGAAGGGCAAGGACTAGGCTGCTTGTTAGGAAAACTGGCATGCCCCCTCTCATCAGTTATGTGAGTCTCTTGGAAGGCCAGGCTAGAATAAACTGATTGATTGCTTGGTTAGTGCCAGAGTGCTGAGAAGTTTGGCTGAGAGCCTGCTCTCCCAGGAGCCTCTGTGTACCTTAGGACACTGCAGTATTGGCATTTTGAAGCTTTCTTGCTCTACCCATGCTTTGTCTTGATCTCACTGGTGGCTGTTCAGCCCTGCAGCGTGACCTGCCTTGGCTCCCTCTCCTGTGCCCCTTCCATGGGCGTTTCTGTCAGCTGCTGTCTGGTATTTACTCCATTGACCCAAAAACCTGAGCAAGAGCAAAGCTGACCAGAAAACGTGGGCAGGTGTTTGAGCAGGGGCGATGGAGGAATCCATGTCAAACTTGCACTTCTGGGAGGACCATAAAAATCTGCTTCTCCATCCCTCTCTCTCTCTGCCCCCTTCTTCTTTTGCCTAGCCCTATAGCAACCGCATGCCTTACACTTAGTATTCCCAGCATCCTTTCTGTCTTACTCTTGCTCTGCGGTGCTACGTGCATTGACATGCCAATACCCCAGCACATCAGGCTGGCATTTCTGGGATGGAATCAGTATGAGAGAGGCTTCCCGCTGTGAGCTGCCCAGGGCAAAGCAGGCCTTCGGAGAAAGGGCATCCCTGCCTGAGCTCCTTTGTTCTGGAGCTCCTTAGCAGTGTCTGCCACACTCTGTCCTCTTCTCTCCCCTTTTAGTGCAGAAGTGGAAGAAGTGGCGCTCCGTGCCGTTGCTGGGAATCCCCAATTGTGTTGGCTTTGGACTTCATGCAGATAGCTACAGGTGAGGTGACTCTGCGAAGGGCACAACTGAGCTCTTTTGTCCACAATTGCCATCTACTTGGGCTTTCCCTCTTCCCTCCTTGCTGTCTGCTATTCCTTTTCTCATTGTCCCTTGGGCTCCTAACCTTATGCACTGCTCCTGTCTCTTATTAACAAATGGTGTGCCTCTCTCATTATCCTGTTTCCTTCAGTCCTTGTGTTGCTAGTGAAGTCATTGCTTTTGCTGCTTCTGCCCCTCAGGCCAGGGGACACCTTATTCCTGCCTTTAATAGTAACGTAAAGGGGAGACTCAGACTGTACATCTGCAACACTTGGACTTGGCAGTGTTAGGTTAACAGTTGGACTCGATGATCTTAAAGGTCTTTTCCAACCTAAATGATTCTATGATTCTATGAACACATGATGAGCATGTCTCTCCCTTTCTGTTATTAAAAGTTGAGGAAACGTTTGCCCAGGTCAACTTGGAATTGAAGTGGGGTCTAATCCAGGTGGATTGCTTGACAAGTGTCCAAATTGGGTAGGTACCGCTACATGCTAAGCCCTTGTCTCTTGCAGGTTTTTGGTGTTCTCTGACTTAGGGCGAACTCTTCAGTCCGTCCTAAATGATGGCTTACACCTACTGAGGGAGAAGGCAGCTTTTCAGATTGTAGTCCGGCTGGTATGTAGAGAACCAATACTTTCTAAGAGACTTTTTCAGAAAAGACCTATAACTTTCTTCCAGATCTTTCAAAGGTGTGTTAAAGCTGATCCAGGGGGTTAGCTGGGGTCTCTAAGTAGCATCTCTCGAGCCTGTTGTAAACTTGAGTAGCATCTTTTGAGCAATGTGTCACCCTGAAGGAATTTGGGGTAAGGAGAATGAGAGAAACCTGACACTTGAAAATTAGAGGCTGTGAGACATGGTGCTTTTTGTGCTCCGCCACACAGCTGTGGGGAGCTGGGGAGGGTCCAGCTCAGTGATAGCCAGGGTGCTGAAGGAGTCTGTGTGGTTCTGATATGCTCGCCTCTTCTGTTTACTCCTAGCTAGACTGCCTGGAGTACATTCATGAAAACGAGTATGTGCATGGGGACATCACAGCTGAGAACATCTACTTGAACCCAGCAGACCTCACACAGGTAGGGAGCAGGAGCAGCGCTGCGAGGAAACGGCAGTGAAGGTGGGCTTGTGAAACGGGATAGAGCAACACCCAGGTTCCTGCTGCTGGGCAGGGGAGCAGTGCAGTCTGTGCAGTGCTCAAGCAGGTGCTGTGGTGCAGGACTGTAGGCTACACTGTAAGCAGAATTCACACCACGCACAGGCTGAGATGCGTACTTCTTGATGTCTTCTAGGTGACCCTAGCAGGCTATTGCTTTGCGTTCCGTTACTGCCCAGGAGGGAAGCATGTGGCTCAGCGTGAAGGCAGCAGGACCCCTCATGAAGGCACGATAGAGTTTATCAGTCTGGACAGCCACAAAGGAGCAGGTGAGTCTGTTTCTGACACAAGCCAGCAAAACTCAGCTAGAGCTGTTACTGTGGCAGCGCTCTCTGGAGCTAGGGCTCCCTGCTGGCATTTCTGTTATTGCTGCTTTCCAGGAATTCACATGCATCTGGAACCAAGTTCCTATTTGCGTTGTTTACTCTTGCCTCTCTCTGGGCTGCTGTGTTGGGACTTGCCAGGTCACTCAGTGACTGCAGCAAGAGGTGCAGGGATGCTCCTGCTCCATCTGGAGCCTTGGCTACTGCAGGTGTGCGAGGAATAGAAAACAGGGCTGCTTCATGCTGGCTTAGCAGGGATTTGTTTCAAGCCAGACTGCATCTCTGCCCAAAACAGATTTGCAGCAGGCTCTTCTCTGACCTTGAAGCAATGAGAGCTGGAAAGGTGTTTAAATTAGCCAGTTCCTCTCCTGGTTGGGATGTGACTGTTGTCTCCCAGTGTTCAGATTGGGCAAGTCTTCCTCCAGAGGCTGGGAGGTGATTCCTCAACTGTGTGAGTTAGCAGGCTCCTAGAAGTATTGATATCCTAGAGCACATCTTAATGAAGCTCTTGCATTTCTTTACTTCTGCTCTTTAGACTTGTGCCCCTTCATGAGGGGGGCATGTAAACATGCCTGTTTTACAGGAGGGGCACCTCACATAGAGACTTCCAAGGCTGTGCAGTGAGTGCTGGAGTCCTTACTTGCCTTTGGAGGAGAGGCACTAGCCTGGGCCTCTTCTAAGATGGCTCCCAAACTCTTGTTTTTTCACACATGGATGTCTCTTCCCTTCCATCAGGACCATCTCGCCGGAGTGACTTGGAATCTCTGGGCTACTGTCTTCTGAAATGGCTCTGTGGCTTCTTGCCCTGGTCTGATGAGCTGGACAAAGTAGAAACTGTGATGGAAAAGAAGGAAAAGTAGGAGAAATCATCTACTCTTTTGGGAAATGCTCAGCAGAAAACAGTGAGGGAGGTTTTGTGACTGAAGAGAAATCACTCGGTCATAGCACACTTTTGGGATGTGGGTAAATTCCACTGTAAAGGCTGAGCCTGGCCAAAGGGTGTTTGATGAACCCTGATTTCTGCTCCATTCAGAACGTGGCCGTCTGGATTCAGCTTCTTTTTTTTTTTTGTCCCTATTGCCAAAGACAGGCTGTTCAGGTACCTGCTCCATTGCTTCTCATCTGACAGCACTCTGCACTGATTATTCCAGGTACAAAGGAGATGTGACATGCCTTCTCCGACTGTGCTTCAGGCAGAGATCCATTCCAGGTATGGGCTTGCTCTCTGTGACAGTGGGACTTGGGGAAGGAGGATTGACTGTACCAGAAGCTAGAACCTTCTCTGTGCTGGGGTGCTAGTCCAGGATGGCTTCCACTGGCGACGGTGAGCCAGCATTGCATGGACTGGTTGACAGGCTCCTCCTGCGAACAAATTCTTTGTTTTCTTTACAGCAAGACAAGGAGGGCTGCTACCCATTATCTGTATTCATGAGCCTTGCTGAAGAGGCAAGTGTTCTGGTGGCTTTAAAAATGCAACATTTGGGGCTAGAGGTCATTTCTCCATCCTGTCTTTGAGCTTCCTATTAGTCTTTGGTTTTGTTTTCCTCTCTCTGCAGCTGGCCAAGGTAGGTGGGTGAGCAGTCTATAGGGAGAGCAGTCTGAGGCCATTTGGCAGCTTTGTAAGGACAACTGGGGTTGCTGTGCTGCTCCATGCAGAGATGTTCCTTGCTTTGCAGATGCCCTGCAGAGCTACCTGCAGCAAGTAATGGCACTAGAGTATGCGGAGAAGCCTGAGTATGAGGCCCTGCGGCAGCTCTTCAAGAAGCCACTGGAAAAGATGAAAGCTTCAGCTTATGACTCTGTGGATATCAAAATGGTGCCCTAAGTAAGTGTCAGTAGTTTAGACTGCAGCAGCACAAAGCGCTTGTCCCCCTGTACTGCTGGGAGCGCAGGAGCAGCACAGCGCTGCTGACCTGCTCGTGGGGTGCTGCAGGCAGCAGTCAGGAGGTGAGGACAGAGCCGGGTGGTCTGTGAAATGTCTCCCGGTGAGACCTAGGGGCTCCTCCTGACATGGGGAGGGAGTACTGGCCCTTCAGCATTCCCTATTAAAAGATCAGTCCAGTGCTACGCAAAGCCAGGCTTAGCCTGTGTTACAGCATGTGTTTCCTCATTTTTTTTCTGGAAATACTTGTCTTTGGAAGAATACCACATGGGTTAGTAAAGCAAAGGATGAACAGTCTGCAGGGGTGTGGGGGTGCTAACAAAATGCAGACTGATGCAATCTGGTCCTTTTTTCACTTTTTTAAAAGAACTGAGGCTCTGGGCTGTATCTTTTGCTTTTTCTTTTCAGAAAGTAGCTTGTAGTTCTGGTTCTGTTGCCTCAGGCAGTAAGTGGTGGCTCTCTAGGTCCAGGTGCTTTGTTTTATCCATGAGGCACCTCCAAGATTGAGGCTTGATACAGAGACAGATCTGGTTCTGCATCAGCCAAGGCCACTGGATTAAGCAGCACGCCCCAGGAAGATGGAGCTAGCTCCTCATCACTTAATTTACTCTTCCTGGGAAGGAACGGAAGTGATTAATTCCTATTTTGTGCCTTTTCTTTCAGATCAAGAAAACTTGCACAGGAAGAGTTCAAAGCTTTCTGCAATGTGCGGCCTTTCCTGCAAATATTTAACTTTTACCTACCTGTTTTAGAACTGAGAGAGGTTTTTATAAGTGTTTTCTTGCAATTTTAATGTGACTGAATTTTGAGCCACTGCTGTAACAAGTTAATGTGAAGACACTCCTGCATGGCAAGTCATTGTAAGCAGTAGCTGGAGAACTGCAGTGTAGCCACCGGGAGAAGGGTGAAGCCTGGCACAGAAAAACTAAATCAGGATCTTTGGATTTTATTTTTTTTTTAACTACAGTGGCAGTACATAGTTTTGTAATAAACTTTGTGGACAAGCACCCAAGGCTGCTGCTGGTTGGTTATATGGCCTTTCTGTAGGCTCTCCTGGGGCTGCTGTGGAGTTGTGATGGTGGTTGGAGCCCCATGTTGTGCAGGGTTCTCCCAGCTCCTCGTGTTAATGTAAATAGTCTATAGGCAGTTCTATCTGCCACTTAATCATAAGAACTTGGCTCAGAGCTAAACTCTGACTTCATCCCCAAACATCCCATGAGTTCTCCAAGCCCCAGGACAGGGAAGTAGGTGAGTGGGATACCAGTCGTTGAAGTATATCTATATTAAAAAAAGTTTTATAAAAAAAGTCACTACACTGTGTGTGTATCATCTGAACTGTTGCCATCTGCCACAGTAACTTCTAAACAAAGGAAGAGTTATGGAGTCCAGTTCCAGTGTTAAATTCAGTGACATCCCCTGGAAGTCTTGTACCTTGGTATTTCAATGCTCACTACCTAATTGTAGAGAGAAGGCTGTTTTCCTAACATTCACAGGCTGAGGTCAGTGTAGGTGGTTTCTTCCAATTGTCACCAAAGCAGCACCGATTTCACATTTGGTAAGAAAAGCATTGCTGCCGTCACAGATTAGGAGCCAGTAGCAAGGCTTAAATTAGGGCTTTCAGTACAACAAACTGTCTGCCCTTAACTGCATTGCTGCCCGTTTCTAGTGTTCAAGAGATTTGCGCTTTACTTGAGGACATGTTAATGGAAATAGCAAGGAAGACTGTGCAGGACAGGAAATTAAATGGAGCCACTGGAGGTGGCAGTTCAACGACACTGTTCCAGCAGAGACTAACAGTTCACAGAGATCACGTTACTGTAGTACAGGGCAGTGAAGCATTAAGGCACAGAAGGAGAATTTTTCAGGCGAGGAAAACATGGCAACTAGAGCCTGAGGCAAATGGGGTTTAAAACCATCTGAGAGGTAGGTAAAAAAGAAGCTCAGACCTGCAGTGAGCCTTCATTTACCTCTTGATTGTGTCTATAAAAACCTTGTATCAGTGCAGCAAAGGGTATTTACCTAGAAGAGGGAAGCACCAGCTGAGTGGACAGTACCTGGCCAGAAGGAAAAGGCAGCACAACCTCAAAAAGGTCTTTCAAGTGGAAGAATTCAAGCATAGTGTTACATCCAGTAACTTGAGAACCAAAGTCAATTCCTTTCTTTTATAGGAAAGCAAAGCAAGGGACATGACAAGTTCTTTTCTATCACCAAGGTGTAACTGGTGAGGTATGACAAAAGTGAGCTAAAGTTTCATATGTGGAGAAGAATCTTAATTTGCAGAGGATCAGACAATAGGGAGTACTTTAAAAAGGCAGCTATCAAGGAAAGAAATGGCCCAGAAGTGAGCTACAGAATTACAAGATAGGCATAGGCGAAGTTGAGGGGAAGGGCTCTGTTTGGAGGTAGTGACAATTATTCACTATCATCCCTGTGTGACTACAACAGAAATTGCTTCCAGGAACCCTAGAAAAGTAAAGAGCATGAAGAAATCAGAGGCTTAAGAAGCCCAAGTTCACCCTTTCTTCACTGTGTTCTGCCACATTTTTTCGCTTGACTTGCCTTCTGTCACACTTGCCATCCCTAGGCCTAGCACGGACTGACTGTAAACACGATTCCAAGTAGTGAGGCAGGCATGGCTCCTTGTTCATGGCACTGCCAGGAGGCAGTGCTGAGGTAGGTTTGAGAGGTACTCCAAGGCTGCCTTCTACAGGAGATGTAGGGCTGGCACTGTTGACGGAAGAGTAGCCTGAGCTCCCTTCCAGGTTAGGATTTCTTGGGGTGAGATATGCTGAAAGGCTGCGAGCGTCATCCGGCAGCTTAGCCTCCCTCAGTGGTGCTGCGTGCCCAGCCCACTCTACAGCTAGGTTGTCTTCATCGCTGGAGTCCTGACAGCAGTGCTCCACAGGATCCATGTAGACCACCGTCACATCCAAGATCCCACTGGGACCTGTCACTGTGGAATAGTAAAAGAAAAAGGCTAGTTTTGATTTGGGCAACACCAAGCACACATTCAGCACAGAAAAAACCCAAGCAAGACCATAAACCTTATGTCCACTTACATGTGGAGGGGAGGGTAGAGCATTAAGTTCACCCTCTGTTTTAAACTTTACTGTTTTAAATAACAGTAACTTTTCCCCCCTCAGACTGTTTGAATAGGTACCAAGAGCTATTTAGGAAATGAACAGCCAGTCCTAGTGTCAGCAAAACAAACAGATAATACAGTGTTTCTAACGCAGTGGGCCATTCGTCACGTTTGGTCCACTGTCACTGGTATCTGAAAACAGTCTCACCCCAAAACGCTAAGCAGCTACCAAACCCTTCATCACATTCTGAAGCAGTATAGAGAAAGAGAACAGATATATACCTCTAAAACAGTTTAACAATTATAACCACTGGGGAAGGGGGAGAGTTTTCCCAACTGGTCTTCAGCTGAAAGTTCAGGCTTCCGTTGCCTGAGAAACAGTTTTAAGCAAAGATGAAAAGACAGTTTTAATTCTCTCGTCTGCTTTTTATAAGGAGAATAAACCTCTCACCATCTCCATCTCTCTCGCCTTCACTTTCCTGATCACCTTCATAACCAGAGCAGGAATCTAAACTCCAGTCTAGGAAGTTATCTAGAAGACTTTCTTCCTGGGTGGATAGCTCTGCTGTGGGTGTAGTCACAAAACTGCCTCTGTCATCCTGAATGCTGTCTTCCCTCCTCCTGTAGCAAGAAAATGCAGAAGTCACATTAAAAGCCAGGTCTTCTTTTCTGTCTCTGAATAGGTATGGCAAGGTAATTACAGAAAAATTGACCATATTTAAGAATGAAACCTCAGGATGCCAGGGAGGAGGAAAGGCTCATGCTAATCTTCAGAGACATCTGCAGTGATGAGTTATACTAGCCTTTTAGTTCTCTTTCCAGAGGGAGAGCTAAGGAAAGTCTGAATTTCCACCACGTTCGTGTGCAAGGGACTGGGCTCCGGGTCCTCCTGTTTCACACCCAACAATGAACAGAGCTGGCTGTAACTCATCATCTAAAAAAATCAAAGAGCCAGTAAGAATTAGACCATGAGATTCCCAGAAGGAATAAATAGCCAGGAGGTGGCTATTTATCTTTATTTTCTAGGAGAAATCTATCCCAGTGAGTTCTTCCCACATGTACTCAAACAGAGCAGTTATAGTCCCCACAGATCAAGTTTAAAACTACCACTTTATTTAGATATTCTCTCCTCCAAAAGTCTAAAAGTTAGAACCCACCTCCCATTATTTGAAGTTTACTCCATCCTGCTATATGGTAGCTTTGGTCTTGGTGTCAGACATCACCAAATGAAGACAAAGAGCTAACCCACCTTTTCTTTGCCTATTTCTTCGTAACGCTCATCTTCAAATCGTTGTTTCACTGCAGTTAAGGACACTTGCCTATAATCCTTTGGGACATCGTCATGGAAACTGGAAAGAAAGATTAAAGCCCCAATCTTAGAATGGATTATATGAAACAATGTTAACAAAACCTGCCAATTTAAGTACTTCCCCTCTGTGCTAAGGAAGTTGGTGTTTCAGCAGAGCTGCTAAGCAGCTAGCCAGGACACTTGGTTTCTAAGCATATCAGCATCTAATTCCTTTTCTGTTCCTTGAAGTAAACAAGCTATTTGCCTTGTACTCTTTAAAAAATGAGCTACTTTTGCTACTGGAACTCCTTCTGAAGCTCACCAATAAGCCAGTTGCAGTCTTCTGAAAATAGTGCTGTTTGGCAAGCTGAAACCTGTTAAGCCTTGAGGAGCATCACATTTTCTGTCACCCAGGGCCACTACCAGTTGTGAGAAACAGAATAGCTGTCCCTGAACTGGCCCCTAGGCCTTAGTGCCTTGTGGTGGGGGGAGCAAGGTAGTTGCCCGAAGCCACGTCCTTCTCTGGGAAGGGCTGCCTGCATAGATGCAGCATGTCTGCAAAAGCTGGAATCC